GCTAGGGATGAGGCCGGGGAGATGGAGTTTGGGAGGTAGAGTCCTTGTCTGAAGATTGCCTTCCTGATTTGCTGGCCTAATTACTTCTCTGGAAGGCTTTGTTGGCAGGTTTCCAGAGAATGCCTGTTAGACTTGAGGACAGTTACAACAGAATGAATGGGGGGAGAAATTTGGAGAAGAAGATTGCAGTGATCTCCTGGAGGTGGTTACATGGAGGGAGGCAAGGCTGAAGCAGGTGTTCTGCTACAGAGTTGGGGATGAAACTGGAGGATTGGTTTTGTAGGAGAGAAGGAAGAGGTGAAGATTAGCAGTTAGTCTATCTGCTTCCAAGGTAGTAGTCTCCTGAAGTTTCCCAGGGAACATCTGTTGCAGTTGATATGGATAAAGTGATATGCAGGGGTAGGAAGGTGGGAGGGGGAAGTCTGTATGATTCACTTCAGATAGGGGCAGACATGATGGAGGGTTCTCAGCAGGCTGGTCTGCTATTGAGCTGAGGATAAGACTAGGTGAGTATATTTGGAGGGAAAAGGGAGAGACGATGGTCTGTATTTAGCCTACCTGCTTTACTGGCAGGAGTTCAGTTTTATTATCTTTATTATTTGATGGATTATTCACAGTGACTTTATATTTACCAGTGGCACTACCATGGCAACACATCTAACTATGTGTGTCACCTGATGATTAGCCTCAAAAGTCGTTTAAATTTCTATTTCTGAGATTCACTTGTGAGGTCCTTTCCTAAATTAGAGAGGTATTAATAATCACCGCACTATTTAGAAGCACAAACAAGAGAGTAATACACAAATATTTCAAGGAGGTTAACCAATGAGATTAAGATTATATAACTTCTAACACTGGGTTCTGAAGATGATTGGCTATGGTTTGGATAAGAGTGGCCCCTTTAGGCTCATATGTTTGAATGCTTAGTTAGCAAGGAGAGAGACTGATTAGCTGGGGCCTTATTGGGGTAGGTATGGCCCTGCTGGAGGAAGAGTGTCACTGGGGAAATATCTTGATTTTTCCAAAGCCCAAACCAGGTCAGGTCTCTTTCTGCCTATGAATTAGAAAGTAGCTCTCAGCTACTGCTCCAGTGCCTGCCTGCTTGCTGCCATGCTCCCCGACATGATGATAATCAAGTAACCCTCTGGAACTGTAACCAAGCCCCTGATTGAATACTTTATCTTACGAGAATTGTTTTGGTGATGGTATCTCTTCACAGCAATAGAATAGTGACTAAGTTATGGGGTCTTTCTTAGAGAGTTTGTTTTCAAACAAGCAGCCCTGTATTGAAGATACTCATGCAGTGATGTGAGCAGGTAGACCTTCCTTGTAAGGAACTGAGCCTCACTTCCAATGCCATTAGTGTCCCTTCTTCATAGGGGCAATCTAATAATAATGGATTCTTTAGCACCAACTGACCTTCAGCTGTCTGCAGTCCTAGCCAATATTTTGATGGAAACCTCAACAAAGACCCTAAGCCACTACCACCCACCTAAGTTGAATCCACAAACCTCTTTGAATCCTTGTCATACAAAACATGCCATTACTATTTTAATCCATTGAGCTTTCAGGTAATTTGTTACATAATATCTGAAAGGATTAGGTAAATGAATCAAGGAGATGTAAAATTTGACAGGTAATTGTCCTGTTTAGACTCTATAATAAATTTGTACATAATGTCTAGATAACAGAAATTCTCTTGTCAGGTAGAAAAATAGGTTTATAATTTTATAAGTCTGGTACAATGACCAAAGAGTATATTGTGTTACAATGGCTTGAAATTCTTTATAGATCAAAATGATTATGTGTTATGAGCCTCAAAACAAAATTAGCGACTGGTGGTCACTTTCTATTAGAGTTATCCAATTTATTACTTGATTGAAAATGTTTAGTTTACTGAATGAGGTATATTTGTGTGACCTTCACCACATAGTGAAATTATTTTCATTATTATTATTTGTCTGTTCACATGTAGTTATTAATTGTGCAAAATAAAGAATTTCACTGTGATATTTTTATGGATGTCTACAGTCTATTTTGTCCATATTCACCCCATTTATTTCTTTTGCTTCTGATTTCTTTTAATCTCCTTTCTATTAATAAAGAATAAGAGATAAAATAATTTTCACTAAAGTGACTTTGTGAGACAATTAAGTTTCTTAAAGTAATATTAATATAAGTACATTCTGTGATTCTTAAATACTTAATAATATTTATACCCAACAAAACAGTAAGAAATTAATAGTAAAGTCCAAGCTCTTTAATAAATTAAAAAACTTTCACCTACCAATTAGTTAGTTTTTTTAGACAAGTTTATATAAAAGAAAAACTATTAATGAATGCTTATCTGAGACCTCCTTTAGATTTCCATTTCCTTGCTGCCTTAGAGGTCTGAAACACCTTTGAAATTTAATAAATATTCCATCCCTGAATAAAATGTACAGATACTCATAAAATTAAGTTTACAATTTCAAATGGCAAGACACTAAATGGGCTACTGTAATTATACTTTAGAGTCTAAATCTATCTAATCTATTGGTTGACCAAATGGCTTTCAAAAAGGCATGGGGTATATTAATAATTAAGTTCCATATACCTGAGTCATGCTGCATCAGAATTTTCAAAAGAGGTTCCCGACAACCTATACACTATACTATAACTGATGGGTTATTTTATGATTAGGAAAGCTCTAAATTACTGGAAAAAAATGAGTTATTAAAATTTGATGCTCAGACAATAACTACTCAACTTCTGATATAAATTATTTAGATATTACTCACAGCCTTTATCAATAGTCATTGCTACATAATTTTTTATAAGCAGTGTTTATATGTGAATATTGATTCTTGAATATTGTGAGAGTTAACATAGGTTAATATTGAATAGGATCAATAGTCCCCCAGGAGACTGTCTTAGGGGTCCTGTTGTTGTGAAGAGACACCATGACCATGGCAACTCTTATAAAGGAAAACATTCTGGGGCTGGCTTACAGTTCAGAGGTTTAGTCCATCATCATCATGGTGGGAAGCAAACTGGCACACTGATAGACATGGTGCTGGAGAAGGAACTGAGATTTCTACTTCTGGATTGGCAGGCAACAGGTAGAGAGAGTGACACTGTGCCTGGCTGAGCATCTGAAACCTCAGAGACCACCCCCAGTGACACACTTCCTCCAAGAACACCACACCTACTCTAACAAAGCCATACCTCCTAATAGTGACACTTTCTCTGGGACTGTGGGAGTCATTTTCATTCAAAACATCACAGAAACAAATTCTGAATATGTCTGTGAAAGAGTTTCTAGATTAGGTTGAAGTAGGAAGAACCTCTATATCTGTGGCCAGCTTGGTTCCATGGGCTGGAATTAAAGACCAAATTAAAGAGGGTAAAGCACTTGATAGTCTGTATTCATGACTCTTTGCTTCCTAACTATGGATATAATGTTACTGGTTGCCTCATACTCCATAACTACCCCACCATTAGGAACTAAATCCTGGAACTGTGAGCTAAGATATGCCCTTTTTTGTAAGATATTTTCTCACAGCAATGAGAAAAGTAATTAATACTAATATATTCTTTGAGTTAAGAGGGCTTGAGCCTGCCGGGCGGTGGTGGCGCACGCCTTTAATCCCAGCACTCGGGAGGCAGAGCCAGGCGGATCTCTGTGAGTTCGAGGCCAGCCTGGGCTACCAAGTGAGTTTCAGGAAAAGGCGCAAAGCTACACAGAGAAACCCTGTCTCAAAAAAAAAAAAAAAAAAAAAAAAAAAAAAAAAAAAAAAAAGAGGGCTTGAGCCTAGGACCATACGATTGTTAGGGAATTATCCTGTCACTGATCTGCTTTCCCTGTCCTTTGGGTTCTCGTGTCATTATATGTTGCAGAAGAAAATGAAGTACAGAGCAATGATTATTTTGCCACATGCACTAATTGAGTCTAAAATTTGGATAACATAATGGGGCTGACTTGTTTCTATACTCTGCCTTAATATCTGGCACATTAGTTGCACAAATCTAAATTATTGGGGTAACTAAATATGCTGATATCTAAAAAGATGTAAGATGTTCTTTTCTCATTTATCTATCTGTGATACCTGGTTTCAAGTTATTCAAAGTACAGGCTGTGACAAAGCTATCAGTCAGAGCATATGCATGAAGCATTGGCATATGGGTTGAGGATTCTTCTACTTCTCATGCTACTCTTGTATCAAATGATGGCTCAAAGACCCAAGTGTACAGGGTTCAGTTTACATAAGAAAACTTGAATGGCTTCTTAGCTGCAGACCACAGAATTTGATCATAAGAACTCAGCTGGTTATGGCAAAGTCACTACCTGGAGGGATCAAGGAATTCCTCCAGAGGAAGCCAAATTCCAAGAAGCTTTTGGTGTTATTTGGCTTGTTATATTTCAGCTGTATTCTGTTATGAAAATCATGTGTGCCTTCACAGTTTTCCCAATTGATTTTTTCCTAAGAAGGGCTAACAGTATGGACTGATCACTCTCTGGACATACACATTCAAGGTATTTGGAGAACATCCCCAGAAAGTCTTCCTCTGGAATCAGATCTCCCTTAGCCACTTTCAAGGACTAACAGTAATAACAGTCCACATGCAAGTCTCCTGATTTAAGGTAAATTCCACAAGGAGACACCGCCTAGGTCAGGTGGACGTTAAATAATAGCTTTACACAATTCAGCTCAGACCTTCCTTTCTTACAGCCTTACTTTATAGACCTCTAACTCCTTACCTAACCACTTCTAGGAATATTTGGATAACCTTCTGCACTGACAGCTATGCTCAGACAGAAGCCCAGTTCAAGTTCAAGCCTCACTGTAATTATCATCATTGACAAAAGCTGGCTGGGTCCATCCCTAGATGGAGGAAAGTACCTTATTAAAGATACCTCTGTACTCTCTAATAACAGACTTAAGCATCCAAACTACCTATTTGAGAAGACCTGGTGGCTGTGCCAATTAAGCTTAACTTCCTTCTTTCCCAAATCTTACCTCTAGTTCCAGATCTCCCTTTACCTGTCACCAGAAGCATCTAGCTGTACACTGGTTGCCTAGCAACCGAGTACACTTTCCCCCACCCTGCAGAAAAACGGCAGATAGCTTGGACAGATAGGAGCCACAGGAAAAAGAAGACAGTTTTATTTTCTCCCATTGACCTAGCAACTTACCAATTCTTAACATTTTCTACCAATCACGTTTAAGACTATAGTTGAGTACATAAGATCCCTCTTCTTAGATATTACCCGAATTTAGCCTTTAGTTAATTCATTTCCCCATTGGTCACTACCCTTTGGGGTTGCAAATGATAATTAATGGTTATTGGCCCTCTATATGATTCTTATCACCCCTCCATTTGCCCCTGGAAGCTTGGCTTAGCACTTTCAAGGGATTACTGCTTGTAAGTGTATATATATACCGGAAATTCCAGGGCATGACTGGACAGAGAATGGAAGAACTAGATGGGTAATAACTTGAGAGGAACTAACTGAGATGGGGAAGAACTAGACTGAAGGGCTAGAAGAGAGTACTAGAGGAATGAGATGGAAGATGAGGAAGAGCCAGATGGGGAAGAACAAGATGAGAGAGAAGGAGATGGGAGAGGAGATGATATGGGAAGGAACAAGATGGATGAGAACCTAGAAGGGGCAGAACTAGATGAAGGATTTAAGATAGAACCTGGAGGGGACAGCAGATAAATGTAAAGAGATATTGGGCAAGAAAGGAGCTAAAAATTAGAGCAGAGTATAAGCTTGTAGAGAGAGGACCGACACAGAATAATAAAGTGTACGGACTAAAGAGTTTCATGTACATAGATTCATTTCTTTTCTTCAAAGATTAATTATCAGCTGATTGTAGATTCTTCTCGGACCCTGGCAGGGGGGGGGGGAACTATCGAGGGGCTGGACCCCTGTAGTCCTCGATACTTCTTGAAGTGACCTTGGAAATCATGACAACATATACAATGTTAGAATTTGGCCTGACTACAATTGTAAGAATGTTCAGAATGTGTGGCTGTGTGTAAATCAAGCTGTAGCACTGTCTTCTTTTCAGTGAGAAACTTCTATTAGAAGCAGAAATATCTTTTCTTTGCTCAAGAAACTCAGTAACTTGTAACTATTGTTACTATTTAATATTCTTCTCTGCACAGAATAGCAACATACTTTCCTCAGTACATACAAATATATATATATATATATATATAATGTATTTTGCATGATTTTTATAAGGAAAACATAAAGAAAGCATACAAATAAGTAAATACATTTTCATAAGAATTAGGAAAAAAAGTGGGAAGATTAGTGATGTGAAAATTAATTCAATATAACTTACCAAGCAGGATGTAAAGACATAGGTTTCACCCAGGCATACAATGTTAGAATTTCTAAGAACTGAACATATACGTTTAATTTTTGGTCCTGAAAGACTCTGTGGTTCCAGAATCCTTTGTAAAATGAAGTAATCACCTAGTGGGTTCTGAAGTAAAGAACACAGTTAAGAGAAATCCATAAATCCTAAGAAATAAAGAAACTTTAGGAACAGGTATTAGTTGTGTTGAGCACTGAAATAAGACCAAGACCAAGATTCAAGATAATCCACTAAATTCTTACTTAGAAGACAATCTGCTATCTCTGAACAAGGCAGAGTTACACAGAGAAGATTTAGTCCTCTCAGATGAAACAAAAAGGTGAAAAAACTATATAAAATAGTGATTTTTGAGCGTGTCATTTTGGGGAGTAATAAAAATAACCAAAAGAAGAGACAAGGCATAAAATTAGATCAACAGCTCCCTCTTTTTACTCCTCTGAGATGCTATGAGTCTGTACCACAAAACAGAACAAATTGAAGCAGACCTCTTGAATGCGGATAAAGTGAGAATCATAAGAGTCTATGTGTTCTACTACAAAGTAAGAAAGGAAAATGTAGGTCTACAAAATATTTTTATGTATTCTGAAAATACTTGAGAAATTTCACTTCATATCATAATAATTAAGCATATGGATTGGAATGGAAGATAAGCAGAATACCACAATGCACAATGGAAGAGCTAATAAAATGTATTATGGATACAAAGAACAGGTAGATAAGCCATACTGAAGACAAACAAACTGATCAGTTAAAATAAGTCTAACTTTACTCAGACTCAGACTTAGCGGGCAAGGACATTAAGTAGTTATTATATCTATATTCCATTTCATTAAAAAGTTTAATAGAGATACAAGAACAAAGGAAAAACACATATAAAGGATGAAAACTAAGGTAGTAGAGTTGAACTAGGCACTGGGTTTAACATTAATTAGGGGGCCTGGAGAGAGGGCTCACTTGCCAACAACACTCGATGCTCTGGTAGTGGATCTCTGTTCCCAAAGTTATCATCCATAACTCCATTTCCAAGGAATCTGACACCTTCTTTTGATTGCTGTAGGCCCTCAGAAATGGTGCAAGTATAATCATATAGGCAAAGTAGTCTTACACATACATTTTTTAAAAGTAAAATCAGCATTAGATTAGACAAAGTAGAACAAGTGATGTACATTTTTATCAATTTTCCTAAATTTTATGGGTTTCCTTTTTGATTTTTGCTTCTATTACACTTTCAGGTCATTTATTCTACTTTGTCGTTGTATGAGATAATCTCTACAACATCATAAAAATAATTAAAAAATGAGAGATATTTTACAACGTTTAAGTGTGTGTGTGTGTGTGTGTGTGTGTGTGTGAATTACTGAAAGCATAAGCCACCTGATGCTGGTGCTGGGAACTGAACTTGGATCTGCTGCAAGGACATGAAGAGATGTTAACTACTGATCCATTGCTGAAACCCCAACAGACTGTTGATAAACAATACAATAAAAATGGAGTGTTATACATGAACTCAATTCACATATAAACAGAAAAATTCAAAAAATGAGAAAAATTAACATAGCTCAGATTGTTACCCTATTAATACTACTAATAATTTTAAATGGTAACAAGTTTTAACATTCATGTAAAATATAAGCATAAACAATTTAAAGATAAAAGTGTGAAAAAACACCTATCATGCTCACATGAATATGAAGGAAGGTGAATGTGAAGAAACATCATGTTAGTCAGAGTGGTATCAGGGAAACACTAATAGCTACAGCACACAATACCATTTCCTGGTTCTGAGGGGGCTAGTTCACCATGGTGATAAAAGAGAAATTTGGCTGAATTGCAAAAAAGAAGTAGACAATTCCCTGATTGGAGTTCCAATACCCACTCTTTAATAATTGATAGAACACAGATAGAATGTTTAATGGAGGGATATTAAGGAAGTGAACAACAGCATCGATGACATTGACCTATAGACAGTGTTATAACACACTGACCAAAAACAACAGAATGCGTGATCTGTTGACACTGACTACAAAACAAGACTCAATAATTTAGAAATGTTTAAGGCACACAAAGTATAGTCTCTCAACACACTGAAAATAAATTAAGAGTTAAAAACATAAGGCTATCTTAAATGTTCCCAGGCCATGGAAAATTCAACAGCATATTTCTAAATCAACTGATAATCAAAGAATGAATTAAAAGTAAAATCTAGAACTTTGAACTGGCTGAAATCAAACTCATGGCACATCATAATTTGTGGGATTCTACTACACACAACCCACAGGGAGCAATTTATGGTGCTAAATTGTATACTAGGAAATATGGAAGGATTAAGTAAATGACATTTGCATCTGTCTTAGGGAAGTGGGGTAAGGTGGTCATTTGAATCCAATATTAGAAATAATGAACCTCAGAATGAAAATAAATGAAGAAGAAAACAAAAGAACCACCCCTCCTCTAGAAAAAAATCAGATCAAAGCTGAACTGTGACTATGTGCTCAAGGTGATTTTTTTTATTTATTTTTGTTTTCTTTTCTCTTTCTTTCTTTCTTTCTTTCTTTCTTTCTTTCTTTCTTTCTTTCTTTCTTTCTTTCTTTCTTTCTTTCT